ACAGTCAATTCACTTTACAGTCTATTCTGTGAAGCGCTTTGAGACATCGAGAAGACATGAAAAGCGCTATATCAAATGCAAAGATTATTATTTCTTTCATCGCACAAGAGCTGAAAGGAGTGTCTCGGTTATCAATAGTGACACAACACCCACTTCGTGGCAGCTTTCAATAAGAAGTCAAGACTTAATTGTAATAAATATACTGCTCTAAATAGATGTTGAAAGGAGAAATGAGTGGGTGTGAGCACTTACAGGGAATATCACCGTACTCTGGCATCAAGAGGACAATAAACTCTCGGGCTTTGCTTTCTCTGTTGCTGTCTAGACAGGAGGAGAAATTACCGGGCAAAGCACTTGACTTTTTGCAAGTTCCTGTTAAAGCATAGTGAAAGCGTTTTATTGTGTTCACCATGGTAACACTGCATTCTGTTTTTTTTGCCACGGTGCCCCTCGGGGAGGATCTGCAAAGAGAGTTGGTGAACAAAAGGAAGACGGTAAATGTTTTTTCCCCACAGCTCGGTTCAGATCTTAAGAGGCTGGAAAAATAGTGAGGTAATTGATGGTGTAGTTGATGGTGCAATAACCCAGTCTGCTCAGCTGGCTACAAAGAGTTTGAAGGTGAAAGCTACAACACAACAACGTCTCAGGAGCAGACTGGAGAAAGGGTGTCCCTCCTTGATTGTGAAGCTTAGGAGATAATAATAATAATCCTTGCATTTGATGTAGCGCCTTATCACGTCTTCGAAACATCTCAAAGCGCTTCACAGAATATAAGGTGAATTGACTGTATATTTTGTGGGCGAAACACAGCAACCAATTGCACCGAGCTGTGTTCCACAAACAGTCATGGGTTGAATGACCAATTTTTTTTTTTAAAAAAGGAATTATTATAACAACCAGGTTCCTACTTGGTTCTCAACCAGGTAAACATGGGCATGTGGAGTAAGGAAACTTGCCTAACATTTCACCCTTCCCGGGAATCAAACGCAGGTCTCTTGCTTGCTCTAACCACTCAGCTACAGAAGTCCATGCATGAGATGGAGAACAACAGACCACACCCCACACCCCCGCTCCCCCACACACACATGCATCACCACCTAGAGAATGAGAAGGAAGAGGACTGCCTCCTGCCTACCCACACTCTGCCTAAAGGTACCGATTGGATGGAAGCAACTTGTCTGACATGAAGAGATTAAAGGAAATCAATGCAAAATCTATCCAGGACTTGGTTTCTCACCACAAAATTCTGACTCACACGTTGAGCAAAATACTCTCTAGAGAAGCTTCCGATTGTTGCTGCAAGAGGCTCCTACACTTATTCTGTTAATGAAATGTCTTTGAGCCCTTCAAAAGATGCGAGACTCTGGACCTCCAGCGACTATCCAGATGTACGTTGCAGCTATGATTCAGCGCTGAACAGATGAAGTGCGCACTAAAAAGACAGTCACTGAAGATCTAGATCACTACATTTGGCAGAATATTACTAATAATACAACAATAATAATCCTTGCATTTGATCTAGCGCCTTATCACGTCTTCAAGACATCTCAAATAACTGCATGGCTTAGGAATTAGCTATCATGAGTTGCTATATTTGGCGGCAGGACTGGGATGAATCGCTGCATTGTTCTACACTTACCCAGTGTTCAAGCAGTTTATATTGTTATATTTGGTCATGTCATTGGCATAGACATTTCCAGACGCAGAGAAAGTAGCATTCAGTGATTGTTACACGCNTTTTTCCTGCCTAATCTTTCACTGCTATTATTGAAGGCTCTTTAGCTAGCTTCATAAACCAGGGAGAAAGAGATGAAAAACAAACAATGGACATTTTTTTTGCAATCTCTTCTTAACTCCACCATTACAACTGATTGGAGGGGGGGGGGGGGAGAATCAAAATAGCATTTGGCAAGAGTGAGGATTAGAGCCATCAGGGATTGGAAAATGTCAGCGTTAAAACCAAGCAGAACAAATCAACACTTAACAGCTTCATTACGTTTCAATGCATCAAAAACGTTCGTCATTAACACAAGACAAAACACAAAACCATATCCCTCCACACAACAGGAAACACACTGTAATAGTGATACTCATAATGGAGCAATAGACCAAAGGTCAAAAAGGCACTAATAAGAACACCGATTCCTTTTGATTACTTGCAAATTGCATGTTGACATCAAGTCAGAAAATGAGGTCAGTCTGCACCCCTGACATTGGCAAGGCTACTCAGTCCCTCACTGTGACAGCTGAACAGTAGTTGTGATTCGAGGAGAGCCAGGCAAGTTGGTCTGAACACTGTATTTATTGGCTGACATCTCGCTCTTATCATGAGCTCTACGCTGCCATCCCAGCTGGGACTGGCTACTTCTGCACAGACCAGCAAACCAACCCACCTGGCATGTTTCTCGTCTGTGCCTCTCAGTCACTAACAATCATGGTGCTTTTTTATTCATCTGACCTTGGAAGAAAGCTGCTATTTTATTAACCCACTGTGTGGTCGAAGTGCTATTTCTGTTCATAAACAAAAGTAGCACTTTGATGTTCCAAAACGCTGAGCTCCCATTCAGAGTTGTGTGGTTAGGTCTGAACCAATGGAGCATCTACATCAACAACAACAGTAAATTCCATTTGTTCAGCGCCTTTCATGTCAGGAGGACGCCCCAAGGCGCTGGACATCCAAGCTGGTGGTTGGGATCAGTAGGGGTGGAGGGCAGGGAGAGCAGTGGGTAGGGCGACCGAAGGCACGGTCGAAGAGCAGACGGGTCTTGAAGGAAGCAAGGGAACAGCAGGGTGCACAATCACAGGATTGCAAGAGAAGTTCGGGTGAAGACACCACTTGTGCCCGTTTGATCTCATCCTTACCCAGCCTACTGTAGCCCAAAGGGTGCAGCAAATTCTCATACCGAGGAATTTCCTGGTCAGCAAGGAAATCTGCTCTGATGTATTTCCAATTAACGTTTCTACTTGTGGCTGCGTTGAGTCTGCAGTTACGAAAACAGTCATTATGTTTTCTGCACCGATCTGTCTTTACACCCAGGGGAATTACGGAATTAATGGGAGGCAGTGCCCGGGTTTTGTTTTGTTGCTACATTTAGTTTTGTTTTTGTGGAAAACTGTTTCTAAGTGTGCGTCCTTCCTTGCTTCCACCCTCTGCAGGGACACCAGTGCGTGACGGCCTTTCAACTGCGGTTCCTTCTTCTTACATGACAGAAAGCACACTGTAATTCGCTCGGATTGTTAACCCTTACGAGGACTGGATTCTGTTCTGAAAATTTCACACGATTCAATTTCTCGGTAAAATCTGTTCCAAAACGCACGAGTCACACGGCACTCATTACTAACATCTATGCAGAGCAGATGGAATTATTGCCCAGTGTATTGGGCTCATTTCCACCCACTTTCAGGTTGATTTTGGTCTCTCTCTCCCCTCGGCAATATTGCCCTTTCCTTCTCCCCGAGGGTCCTGTGAATCGTGGTGGAGTGCGGTTCCACAGGGGCCTTCGCCCGGACAGTGAGCATCTACAGCCTCTGCTTCCTGAAGCTGCAACTCAAGGATCACTGCTGGGAACTTGGTGAGTGTGGATAAGGGTAGCGTTAAGGCAGGGCTGGGATGCCCTATCGGGGTCAAATAGCCTGACTCTACAGCAACATCCTAGCTCACACATGAATTTGTGTGAGCAATAACGACAACTTGCACCCTTCACACGGGGAGCGTCCCGAGCAACCACTTGGGCAACATAGTACAACAACAACAACCAAATTACATCTGCATAGCGCCTTTCACATTGGGAGGACATCCCAAGGCGCTGGACAATCAGTGCTTTGGACCCGAGCTGGGGTGTCGGGATGAGGAAAGGTGGAGGGCAGAAGGGGAAAGGAAGGTGATCGAAGGCACTGTTGAAGAGACGGGAGACATGAAGCAGGCCGGAGCCTGCTGAGCGGAGGGAGTGGGCAGGTTGGTAGGGGGTTAGGAGGTTGCAGAGGTAGTGGGAGCAAGGCCATGGAAGGCTTTGAAGGTGAGGACCGGGTTCTTGAACTGTATCCTCTGTGTGATGGGAAGCCAGATGAGTTGGGCGAGGATGGGGCGATCAGGAAAATCAGATCCCCTGAGTCAGCACTCGCAGGGGAGGATGGGGGAAATCATTCTAACCAAAAGTATGCACATATATCCTGATTTCCTTTTAAGCAAAATCACCAATACCTTGTAACTGCACCACCAGTAGAAAAACACACGACTTTACATTTACCTTCCACGTCGAGAGGACATCTCAACAGCTTCACAGAGCCCACTGGGAGCCTCAAGTCAGGGTGGGAGTAGATGAAAAAAAAACACGGTCAAAAAGAAAGGTCTCAAGGCAGGCTTTAAAGGTGGGACGGATAGGGCGAAGCAAAGCGATGGAAGTATCTGGGACACAGAACCATCAAAAGTCAAACGGTTTCAAGGAAAGGGAATGTGAAGAAAATCAGTGATTAAAAGTCAGCAATATCCAAACATCCTCTCCATGGGACGCTGCCTTTGTTTGCAAGTGACACTGAATGCAGTTCACATTGAGGACCTCACCACCCCAAGCAGAAAAACTAGACTCAGCATTTTGCATATTGTACATAGACAGTATGAGAGGCTGAGCTGAAGGTAATAACCCTGTCTCAGGAGTTCTTGAATGACAAACATAAACCACTCAATCTTCCCTCTTGCAGTTTATGACACAGAACATGTAGCCCATTATCTTCCGTTTAATTTCTCCAACTAATTAGAGGCTAAATTGAGTCATTGACAAAGCTGTGAGATGTAGAATCATGACCCATGACTGTGTGAAATTGATGAAGAAACCAACCAAACTCACCATCCTTTAGAGAAGTGGACAGACTGGGTAACCAACCTTGTCCTGCATTCTCAACGAGTGTTGCTTGCGTTCGGATCACCTGCAATTGCTTACAGCTCGGAGCTGGCTCCGTGGATTTAGTACTCAGAATGTGTCTTTAACGAGTAGCGGTCTTACCGTTCTATGATATCAGCGATGGGGCAGGCAAACATCTGGAGCCCTTCAGGCATCTGCAGGGCAACTAAACAGATAGAAAAAAAGAGCGAATTGGTTTAGCTCTGGGTGAAACATTTCGGAATCAGCTAGCATTAACCTGAACCATCTCAGGGAAATCAGCAACATTATGTTGGTGGTCCTGTGTCACGCACCAAACAGACAAGCGCTCATGTTCTCCTCACAATGTACACCAAGTCAGCCTGGCTCAGTTGGTAGCACTCTCACCTCTTGAGTCAGAAGATTGTAGGTTCAGGATCTAAGTCAGGACTTTGAATTTAACTCCCTGGACTATCTAATTAAGTGTTAAGGGACGCTGCATTGTTGTTGATGCTGTTGTTTGGATGAGACGATAAACTGAAGTTCCATCTGCCTGTTCAGATGGACGCATAGATCCTGGCTAACTATCCTCAAATAAAAAAAATTGGTCATTTGCTCCGCGGCTGTTTGTGGGATAAGGCTGTGCCCAAATTATCTACAAATACACAGTCACTACACTTCATAGCGAAATTTTATCCAACTTTGAGACGTCCCCTAAAAACAGCTGTCAATACCCCTATCCTAAAGAAACCTTCCTTGGACCCATCTCTGCTCACAAACTACTGCCTCATCTCCAACCTCAGTGCCATGATATGCGCTGTGTCCCCCACCTCCGCAACTTTGCCCAACTGTGCCACTGCCTCACCACCTCAGACAACTGAAACCCTCATACATGCCTTCATTACTTCATTACATCCAGGCTCGATCCACTATGACAACGCCCTGCTTGTCGGCCTTCCCAACTCTTCCCGCCATGAGCTGCAGATCATCCAGAATTTTGCAGCTTGTGTCCTTTCCCGCACCAGGCTCTGTGACCCATCACAACCACCCTCGCCCAGCTCCACTGACTCCTCATCCCTCAAAGGATCAAGTTCAAAATCCTCGTCCTCACCTTCAAGGCCCTCCTACCTCTCCAACCTGCTAATCCCTTAGCAACCTGTCCGCTCCATCCACTCAGCAGGCTCCGGCCTGCTCCCATGTCCCCGGTCCGACCCGCCCGACCATCAGTGGTTGGGCCTTCAGCCTCTCTGCCCCCACCCTCTGGATCTCCATCCCACATTCCCCTTGCCTCGCTCCTTCCCTTGCCTCCTTCAAGGCATGCCTCAAGACCTTCTTCTTTAATCGTCCCCCCCAACTGGCTCGGGTCCTAAACCCTAACTGTTCAGTGCCTTGGGATGTCCTCCAGATGTGAAAGGCGGTTTACAAATGGAACTTTGTAATGTGTTGTATATCAAACGTAAGACTTATTATTATAGTATTCCAGATGTTTCCAATCTCAGCGAAAGAGTTATCAGAGCGAAGGACGTAATACACCAGTTGCCTCAACCTAAGGCCCCAATGGACCATCTTGTCAAGACTTGTTCCATATTTGAACTGGAATAAAACCCACATTAAAACTGGTCAGAAGGAGGTAATTATGTTCCAATCCCTTTCATTCTTCACCAAAGTGAGAAGATATCAAGAATGCAATGCAAAACAGATTTGTAAACCAATAACATTGAGTCTCGTGTGAAATACCATCACGAGAGTGACACACATTCAGATAACCATGTGCTCGCCTTGATAACTCAGCATCCTTCTTTTCCTTGTCAATCAAACAAACTAGTCTTGTTACTATTTTCAGGATTCGGGAGCAGAAACAGTTGGATATGAAACCCATTCAGGCAGTGCCTTTGATAAACACTGCTAAATAAAGATAAGATGTCACCCTTTAATCCAACATAAATTTGTTCCATTGTGTCATAATTCCTTCGTCTCTGAACACCGTGTTCAGCCGCTTCACACTGGCAGCTTCAGCACAAGCTTCTATTGTACGGTGATAAAGCCACAAGAGCAGCATTTTCTCTGCACAGGTCAATGAAATAATATCTGATCTCCTGATCAACTTCAAATTTAGTTTCCCTGAGGCTAAACGTCACTCCCGGTCCATCAATGCCTCAGCCATTTTGTATCCTAGGAGGGGATGCAGCAAGGCCACTCTGGCATCTCTTCTCCACCCCCCACCCACCACTGCCCGTCCAAGATCATATTCCTGGGATAGGAGGAATCTTGCGACACCTCTCATGCATGCCTTAACCCTAACCCACCTCCCCCACTTTCCTCCAGCAGGGCGCACACTCAATAGCCGGCACACACAGGTCGACTCCGCTTGACCGCTTCGTAAAACTGAAACCTTTTCTGCACCCAACATCTGCGCAAGAACAGTTGGAGGATATTGAGCGGCCATTACAATAAGGCAATAAGGCAGGTTCAGGGAAAGGTTTGCCGGGGTATGGCGAAAGAGCAAGGGACTGATTGGGTAGATCTTCCAAAGAGCCAGCACAGGCACTATGGGTCGAATGGCCTCCTTCCGTGCTGTAACATCCTATGATTCTACGACAAGCTAGTTTCTTCAGGTGGGCGATTTGAGAGTCGGCATGCCCAAAGTAACGTCTAATTGGATTGGCATTCATCCAGTATCCAATACTCAATCTAAACCAAGCATACCCATTGTAAGGTTGAGGGTGAACGCAAGGCATTCTCTCACAAAGGAGCAATGGGTAAAAGAAAATGGAAGAGGGACCTTTCAGCACCTCCTAATGGCCAGATCACAATCAGCATGCACAGAGGCGATCAGGGAAACTGCAGAGTGTAAAGAAATTAAACTTTATGGAGGTGTGAAGCCAGCGCTCACTGGTTCACACAATAGTTTGTTTCTGCTTCTCCCCCACCCCCCCCCCGCCCCCCCTCCCACCTTTGTACCATCCTTCTCCTTTCCCCTCGCTTCCTGCTGGTAAACCAAGGTCAAGAGCAGAAATAATCCGCTCAAATAAGATACTCAAACAAAAATGGGTCACACCTGACTTAAAAAGCCCCTGCAAATATTGGCCTCGGTGAGCCTGAGTGCATAAGCTATTGTCCCTGGGCGTGCGTTTCAATTTCCGCACACGCATTTAATGGCCAAAAAGACTCACAGTTGCCTGTGATGTGCTAGCAAAATTCAGCAAGGCATACATTATCCTTAAGAATAATATTTGCTCAGGCAATATCAGCTACAGGGGTCACGCAGGGTCGACCATCCCTTGTGTAAATAGATCGAAAATGTGGCATTAACTCCATTACTGGCATAAACCGAATAGAAGGCTTCAACAAAATGTCACCAGGGGAGCACAAATCTATACCTCGGCATCCAACGCTGCTTCCCGCATTTGTGTTCTCAGGGAAAATTCACATCTGTGTGTAGCTGGTCTGGAATTTAAATGGTCTTTTTTTGCCACCCATTCGCAGACAATTTTGAGCCAGTGGTTGCAGAGCCTCCGCTGCTCAAGTGAAGTGAAGGAAAAGCCCTTCCAAAATAAATAAATAAATAAGTAAGTAAATAACGTGGTCACTTCAATCCACGACTGCTTGTGGGACGCTGCCTTGCGCAACTGGCTGCTGCGTTTCGCCCACAAAACACACATTCAATCACTTTACGCTAAATTCTGTGAAGCGCTTTTGAGACGTCTCGAAGACGTGATAAGTCGCTGTATCAAATGCAAGGATAATTATTTTTCAATTTTCTTGGGAGGAATACAGTGAAGAGTGCGCAGTCGGGCTGCAATACAAAACGCCCACCATCGGAGCAGGGCTACACATTTACCGCTTCTAATGACACGCCACAAAACTACCTGCAACCTGATAATCTGCCTCCGAGAGAAACAGAACAGCTGGTGTCAGAGACGGAGGTGTCAATTCTGGTGCACCCTGACCCCTCTCACCTCAATTAATGCAAGAGTCGCACAAATTATCTGTAATACTAACAGTAATAATCCTTGCATTTGACATAGCGGCTTTTACGAAGATTGTGTGGTTGGGGCACATCACCTGTGATAATAACCCCTGCATTTGATACAGTACATTTGTCCCACCTTTGAAACCCCTCAAAGTGATTGTGCATTTTGTAGGCGAACACAACGTCAATATGCACACAGCAATGCTTCGTAAATAGCCATGAAGCAAACCACTGATTTTCTAAAATTCTGTTTGCTGCTTTAAACGGCGTACCGCGAACTGAGAGGGACAGGGCACGAGACGGAGCAGCTTATTTTTACCACGCTGTGATAATTATCAACACAATCACAGCGGAGCCACAGAAAATGGGTTAAGCAGCCCAGAACACGGTCGGTCAATTGGAAAAATCCAGTTAAATCTGGCGGAAGAATAAAGTGTGTAATGAAATCCCACAATATTGTAACGTTGTGACTATCGATTTCTTTTTAAAATGCAACTATCTTCCCATGCAATCAAATGAAAAGAACACCACACTACAACATCCCCGGAGCTTCAATGCTACACAGTGAGCTTTTCAGCAAACACAATCTACCTGTGAACTTCAAGCAATCAGAAGGTACTTGACAAACCCATTAAACTTCAGGCAGTTTGACACACAGAAAAGATGCAGACAGCAATCCAATTACACCGTCCGTTAGGAACCAGCAAGAAATCCTGTTTAAAAACCAGGAGGGAAACCCCAACACCAGACTAGCTTCTGCTCCCCAGCCCCCGCCCCATCACCACCAAAAAAAAACAAATTCAGGGACAAGAATTAATTTCTTTATTTAAAAAAAATGGAAATAGTAAACCTCCAAATAAGGTTGGTCATTCACCTCATGGTTGGTTGACCAAAATTGACTCCCATGGTCACCTACAAAACACACAGTCACTGCACTTTACAGTAAATCCTGTGAAGCGCTTTGAGACATCATCCCGACACAAAAGCTGAAACCCTCGTCCACGCCTTCGTCACTTCCCGGCTGGACTATTCCAATGCCCTCCTCGCTCGTTTCCTAAGCTCCACAATACACAAAATCCAATTAATTCAAAACTCCGCCACCCGATACTCACCCGTACAAAACTCCGTTCCCCCGTCACACCAGTCCTTGCCAGGCTCCACCTACTTACTGAACGGATCGATTTCAAGATCCAGTCACTCGTTTTCAAATCTCTTCGTACCCTCACACCTCGGTACCTGCTTAACCCCCACTCCACCAGCCACTGTTTCCACTCGTCTGGCTCTGGCCTCCTATTTGACCCTCGTCCCTTCCTCTGCACCATCGGTGGCCGTGCCTTCAGTCACTACGCCCCGAAACTCTAGAACTCTTCTCCCTCAACTCCTCTGCCTTGCCCCCTATAGCGGACTGGTGGTAGGGCACCCTCTTTCCCACAACGTTAAGACTCTGACATGAAATGGGTTTGAGAACATTGCAGCCCAGTCAATGCTAGATCACCGCACAAAACTGCCCCTAATTCAGCACAAACTGAGCTTCTTATTCACCCTCTTTTACAATTAAACTTGCAGTGAGAACGAGGGGCACTGACCAACACCATCTCATTTATATTTCATTTTCCCAGCGCTCTACAGATCTAATTTTGTATTGTATTTCTCACGTTAACTGAATCTGGGGCTTGGCTCTTCTTTCAAATCTCCATCACCACATGTGAGAGGAAGACAGATGCCAGGCATTTCTTCTCTCAGTCAGTCGAGCTCCAGAGACCATCCCCCCTCCCCCAAAAAGGATATTTTTAGTTAACTCAAAAGGGTAGAGTGTAGTATTCTCTTGGATCTGAACCCAGGGCGTTTAGGTCACAAGCCCCACTGCCCAACTCATTGAGCTACCCAGGATGACAATTCATTTACATAGGATCATGTTTACGGTCACCTCCCCCCTCCCTCTCTACTTGGCTCGGTGTCTGACTCCGCCAAAGTCAAGCGCTCCAGGATGCTATCAAGCGTGAAGGGCGCTGTGTAAATACAAGTTGTTATTGTTGTTGTTGGATCCTACGTCTCTCCATGGTTGCTGTGAGTCCAATTGATAAAGTATTAATAGGAACGTAAGAATGGATATCATCCATTCAGCCCATGATCTAATGAACACCAGGTTATGAAATCATGCCATTTCCCTGCCTTTACTCCATACCTCTCTTCGCTTGTGCTTGCTTTATTCTCCAGACTGTCTTGTAGATTTCAAAGTTGTAATTGTTGGGCAGAGCTCGCACAGCCTCCTGTAGGTCGCTGTCATTCAAGATTTCTTTGGGAATCTGGTTAGCCACACGTCGAGAAGGGCCTGATGAGAAAGGAATGGAAAAGACAGGAGAGTTACTGATCTCCTCAGCTAAACTGGTTTTCCTTATGTCTTGAAATGAAAAGCTTGGTTAATATAATAATAATCCTTGCACTTGATATAGCGTCTGATCACGTCTTCGAGACATCTCAAAGCGCTTCACAGGATATACTGTAAAGTAAATTGACTGTATATTTTGTGGGAGAAACCCGACAGCCAATTGTGCACAGCAGCATCCCACAGATAGTCATGGATTGAAGTGACCAATTTTTTTTTGAAGGAATTATTACCCCCGGAAAAGTGATCCGCCAATCGACTAACAACCAGGTTCCTACTTACTGCTTAGTAAACAGAGGCGCAATCTGAAATACTTCTATCTTGAACACTGTTGTCATATCAACTAGGTTCTCCTTTTTGACTGCAAGTGAAAAATGTGGGTGGTCCAAGTGCATCTTGATACACACATCAGAATGGCTGTAACAGCCTATTTTTCAGATACAGCTGGATAACAATGTCACCATATCAATGCTTTTGACATAGTCACACAGTCTAGGGGTTGGGGGGGAAGGAGAGGAATGGAATGGTTGTGAAGGCAAAGCTCAGAAGGCAGAACGTCAATAGATAGCTGCCCTCTACAGAGGATAATCGATATATAGACCAGACAGCCAGCGAGGCAGTGAGAATGGATAGTGAGAACAATTTTCAAGGAAGAAATGGATGGAGATAGGCACTGGAGGTTACGAGATAGAGAGTAATGATATTTAGAAAACGGAACCAGACCATAATGGTCTTTTGCTGTCTTGTACATTCTTGCATGTCCCAACGACCTGAATGTAATGAAATTCTCTCCCTTCATCATTTGCACTGAATGCTGTTCAGTCAGTTCCTCTGCTGCGAGGTATTCAATTACCCACCTAAACATGCAGAGACTTCCAATTAATAATAGCTAAAATCTGCCATGTATAGCCAGCCTGAGATCTCAAATCAGGCCAACCCAAGCAAAACATGGTGCGGAAGAGTGTGTGGTGGTGGTGGGGGGTGGCAGCGGAGTGTGGGGATCTTTTCTACAATTCAGGACCACTTGCACCGCAAACCATTTATAACTCTTCCTGTATTAGTGCCTTGGGTACCCTATCCTAGGCCAGCATAAACCAGACAGACATAAATACTGTAGGTGCACTGGGTATAAGACCACCTGACAGAGCTTTAACATAGTATTTACAATGACTCATTGATCGTTGCCTAAAAGAAGCTTTAGACACACAATTTGCAACCAACAACTTTCACCGTTGCAAATGGATAGCGTAGCCACAAAGCATTAAGAGCAATTTCCTTTTCAGGATGCAATTTCGAGAGGCACACAGACACCAGGGTTTCAATCATCTCATTAATATCCTTCCCGTACGGTCACATTCCCAAATGCAAAGCCAATTGTCGTCTGTCCAATTTAACACCTTATCTGTCAAAACACACAAGAGCTCTGGAGGCTCCAACCTCAAAAACGTGCTGCGCTACAAATAAAATGACACTCTTTCAAAATAATTTGTTCTCAAAGAGATGTCCCGAAAACAAGAATAAAAATTGCAGCTTGTGCAACATTCAACCAGCTCCCTCAATGGTGTTGTTGGATTGATCCAGTGAGCAGCTGAGCAGGAAGGTGCAGGGTTTGATCTGCAATCTGTGCCGAGCGAGCTGGTCTCAGCCAGGACAGCAGGAGAGGCGTAACAACTGGTCTACGTTGGCGGGAGTGGGAGACAATTAAAAATAAACTCAGTCAGTCAGTCAGTCAGTGCTCCTTCCTGCTCCTGACATAAAAACAGAAGTCGCTGGGAACACGCAGTAGGTCAGGCAGCATCTATGGAGAGAGGAAAGTGAGGTTTAACATTTCAGGTCGATGACCTGTCGTCGTTTCCGAAACGTCAACTCTCTCAGTAGAGGCTGGCTGACCTGCCGCGCGTTTCCCAGCGACTTCTGTTTTTATTTCAGATTTCCAACATCTGCAGTATTTTGCCTCCTGATGCCTGTTGGCAGGCCTCATGACTTGTGGGCACAGAAATTGCCTGAGTCAGCGATGCCGTCCTGCGGTCATTGTCTGAAGCTCACGCTTGAATAATGGGCAAGTTGGCGGAAGGTGACAGGTGCCCGCGGGACCTTACTCCCAGCAGAAAGAAAAAAAAGGGGAGAGGACCTTAACCGACAAAAATAAAAACGCAAACTGAACTGAGGCTGTGCATCGAGGCTCAGTACCTTACTCCACGATCTACTCAGCTCCTGATTTGGGCCATGGAGTGTGAGGGAGGTTATAGCGTCCTCCTACAGAGGAAGGGGAAATTTAGAGGAGAAAGTTGTACAGCTGACAGTCCCTGGCTCATCCTGGTGGCGGGCTGTAGAGAGAGCATAGGAGGAAGCTAGGAACAGGCTGCCTCGTGGAAGCCAATACTCTTCATAGAGAGTGACAGCGCAAGAGGGGAAAAAAAACGCAGCTCTCGTACTTTAATGTTGTGCCAAATATTTCTCGTTTGATATTCTTAATTCATTAACTTCAAGTTGCTTCAGCCCAGTGCTATATCCCTCTAAATGTTCTCTCCAGACGAGTCTGGAAGGATTAAAATTTGCAAACGAACTGCTGTGTATGATTTTCACAGTTCAAGTGGGCATAGCATAACAATTTCACACCCCAACCATTAACTTTACTGAAGTGAATGTGTAAGTTAATGCAAAGTGAGGGACCGCTGCCAAAATACCTTAACAGCACAGTTAATATAATCTAATAATCCTCGCATTTTATACAGTACCTATAACATCACAATATCAAGCACAGCAGTCAATATGCACACAGCTATGTCCCACAAACATTTGTGAATAATTTATCCGGAGGATTATAATAATAATCCTTGCATTTGATATTGCACTTTTCATGTCTTCCAGACGTCGCAAAGCACTTCACAGAACATACTGTAAAGTGAACTGACTGTATATTTGTGGGTGAAACTTGGCAGACAATTGCGCACAGCAATGTCTCTCAAACAGTCGTGAATTGAAGTGGCCAATTTATTACATTTTTTTTTTCTTGAGAGATTATTAGGCGCAAGGAAACTTGCCCAAGATTTCGCCCTGCCGGGAATCGAACGCAGCATTGACCACAAAGACAGAGCTTGTGGTATCATGGGATCTTTAGCAGGTAACTATCCTCCTGGGAGTGGGGGAAGAGAGTTAAGTAAGATCTCTTAGGAGTTGAGCTAGCTCCAAGGTGACATGCTTGGCAACGGAATGTTGGAACTCTCAAGTCAGGTTTGAATACCCTTCAGCGTCATTTATAATAATAATAATCCTTGCATTTGATATAGCGCTTTTCTCATCTTCTAGACGTCTCAAAGCGCTTCACGGAATATACTGTAAAGTGAATTGACTGGATATTTGTAGACAAAACTTGGTAGCCAATTGCGCATAGCAGTGTCCCACAAACAGTGGTGGATTGAGTGACCAATTTATTATTGTTTTTTTTTGAGGGATTACCATCCCTGGAAAAGCGATCCACTAATCGAATAACAACTGGGTTCCTATTTACTACTAGGTAAACAGAGGTATCTATCAGACATACACACATCAGATCAAAAATAAAAGTGTGGTGGTATTCTAGACGGATGAGATCAAATGGGTACCTTCTTCAGCCAAACCAAGCTTGCTGTCTGGTGATATTTTGAGAATTAGGGATAACTAAATCAAGCTTTGGGCACCACACAATGTGCAATATTGTTATGTAGGATATTGCGGGATAGAGTTCCAGAGTGTGGGGCAGAGATGCTGAATGCCTAACCACCAATGGTGGGGCGGGAAATGTGGGGGACCTGAAGCAGGCCAGTGTCCGCCGAGCAGAGGAAGCAGACAAGCTGATATGGGGTTAGGAGGTCAGAGAGGTAGGGGGCAGCAAGACCATGGAGGTCTTTGAAGGTGAGAATGAGGGTTTTGTACTTGATTCTCTAAGGAATGGGGAGCCAGTGAAGCCAGGCAATAACGGGGTGATTGATTCGCGGAGCCTGGTGCAGGAGAGGGTATGAGCCGCAGAGTTTTGAATAATCTGGAGGAAAGAGTTGGGAAGTCAAGCAAGCTGGAGGTTAGCGCAGTCAAGCCAGGATGTGATGAAAGCGTGGAT